TCCCCAAGTCTTCTCAATAAGTTATACAACGCCAAACTCAAACTGCATATATATATGGTTTGGGTTGGGACCGCCAAGGAAACAGAAATAATTATCTGAGCCTCTAAATAGCTTTCAAAGCAAATGGAAGTATTTACCACAGTCCACAGTATCACATAGAGATTCAAAATAGTCTTTAAAGTCGAAATAGCCATCTCGGACTACACATAATAAATATCGCACAATGGTAAAAAATGACAAAAAACACATGCTCTCTAAAGAATTTGAAAATTCTAGACCGGTTTCCCCTATCACTAACTGGCTAAGTGCATATGATTGAAGTGACTGTAATTGCATACCTTATAACACGTGCACATTGCAGTGGCATTTTAGGAGATCATTCCCCCACGCAATTTGGAACTTCATGAATCTTTGCCCCAAATTTGAAGCACTTGCGTTCATTTGTTGAAAATGTTTTAAAAGAATGACCGACTTCGAGTTCATTGAGATCCCTTTTGACTGTAACTGGCATGCTCGGCCTATCTCCCGAGTTACGCTGCACACATAAAAGACCTACATGCATGAAATAATCTCACAACTTCATGTGGATCACCTGTGTACAGCATCCATGCCTAAAAGAATTTATCAAAAGTTCAAAATCATTGTGCTTACTTGAAAGAAGGAAAAAAAGAAAAAGAAAAATGCAATGAGTAAATCCTATATGTTTCTCTTCCCACTCACTATCTCTACCACCAACCCACCAAAACTATAGACATCAGATTTTATCAAGTAGAACCCGTCAATTGTTTATTCTGAGGACATGTAACCACTACAAACCAGTCAATAAGAACTAAGCTCATAAGCAAATCAAGTATACTATATATGTATGTATTGGTTCTTTTTTGATATATACTTTGTAACATCTCACATCGACCAACATAATAAAATTTCTCCCTATGAAAATTAAAGTCTGCAAAATATTACAACGTAATAATTAATATATATTAAGTAATATAATTTATGAATTTAATTAACATATTTAATACTAATTGTTCACCGGAGAAAATAATAATTAAAACATAATTACTAATCAAAGTAATTAAAATAAAGCAAAGATATTGTTTAATTACAAAAAATAAAATAAAATAATGTAAAGAAACTAATTTGATATTGCACATAGCCGCCCAGGCCGCCTAGCCCGATTTTTTGAAAATTTCATTGTGATTCTTTGTGTTATCGGCTTGATCTTTCCTCTTCTGTTGCCTACGTCAGTCCTGGTCAAGCATGCAATTGAAAATTATCGTTGATGTTGTCTGCTAAAAAACAAATAGCATGCGAAGATCACCTGTTAGACCCTTTTGTTGAGAATTTCGTACTGGAAATCAAAGTCCTCTTCGGGTAAGTCCTCAAAATCCTCAAAATAATCTTGTTCTGGTATATTTCTTTGTTGTTTTGACAAGGAAAACTGTATCTTATTCAAAACAGAGAAAGAAAACCTACAAGAAACATGGGCTAGAAAGAAAATAGAGAAAGGAAAACTATTTCTTTGTTCTTTTCGTCTTCAAAGATATCTTGTAGAAAACCATCAAAACTAGACCAACAATCATGACATGACATATGAAATCAGATTACATTTAGCCCAAAACTCTGTCCAATCAACATGAGTTACACTAAAGTAGTCTTTCAAATGCTTTAACAAACATGCCCCAAGAGAAGCTATTATAATATTTCTGTTAGTTTTGATACGTTAATATAATAATACTGTCATATTGTGTTGTAACTCGCAAGTTTGTGGGAGTCTTTTTTGTTGTGTGTGTGTGTGTGTGTGTGTGTGTGTGTGCAGGGGGCGGGGAGATGGAGGGGAATGAAATGGAAGAGGCCAATGCATTATGCATCCAAGGGAGAATTATGCCCCAATCCCGAAAATGGATTTCTCCAACCCTTAAATTAGATCTGCAAACGAATTTTGCACTCAATGTATTTCATATTTTTGTCATTTTGGGATTTGACATGCTTTTCTTCACATGTTGATGGTTTCGCGTTCCTCTGTTTTATTTTATTATATGGTAGCATGCAGGATATTGAACTTAGGCACATGTGGTATGCTCTAGATTTAGCTGTTCTTGCGGTTGGAGTGATGGAAAGGACTATGACTGGTGAAAGAAAAAGTTTTCATCAAGTTGCATTTGACCATTTGAAAGATCTACAGAACCATTTGGGGGCTGTCAATGACATCCCTCGCAAGGTAGTCTATTCTGAATATGGTTTTCTTTTAGCCTAACATTTTCAATCGTACCTCCTTTTTGTGGTTGTTAAAACTGTTATTTTCTCATGTTTATGCAAGATAAGTTCAACTTGCAATTACATGTCTAACATGTTTCCTCGGGCAAATCTGTTGCTTGTTGTCTTTGAAAGTTGTTTTGTGTAAAATATAGTCACCAAAAAGTGCATGCAAAACAAACTATTTATCATTCATGTTCTGATGCTAGAGAATTAGCAATTGCTAAATGGATTGCTTTTTGGTATTTTGTTCAATTTTACTTTGAAGTTTCATGTTTTCCTTTGAAATCTAAATGCTCTCAATTTGTTTGTGATGTCACCATAGTTTGCTGCATCTTTTTTCCTGTTCTTCATTGTAATTATTTTATAATGCTTCTGTAATGATGCAGATCATGATGGCGAATGTCATAAGTTCGCTTTTACATATGGATGATCTTTCTCTCAATTTGGCTCATTGTGCCTCACCATGGAGCTATTCTGAATCACATTACACATGTGCTTCAGAGCAAACTGATCTAACACGTGAAGAGGGAAACAAATTAGTTGTATCTTTCACGGGGAAACTACTAGATATATTACGTCACTATCTTCCTTCAACTATAAGTTTATAACTGAACTAGATCATGCTCTAAGTGATGGCGTAAGTAAGGGTGGAAGACCAAGCATTGGAGTGGAGAGCGTCAAGTGCTAAACATTTGAAGAGTGGGAATGGCTGTTGTCAATTTCGCAGCATCTTCTTTCGTTATCTGAACGCTAGTGGCAGTGGAAAGAGGCATTAACTGTATTACGTCCCGCACCATCTAAGCTACTTAACCTGTGAGTTGCAAGCCTTTTCTCCTTTGGGAATTTATATGATGATCAATTGGTACTTGTGCATGAATTGCTTTTGGATATTTGTTATAGATCACTGGTTTGCAAATGGTAGTTTATCCTACAATAAAATGGTAGTTTATGACGATTATAAACTATAATGATCATCCAGGCCAAACAAAAAATTTAACATTTTCCCGTTTAATACTCGTATTATACACATACTTATGTATGTTTCAATAATACTTCCCTTTTTCGCGCACGTCTTAGCAAGAATTCACAGATTCGTTCACTTACCAGCACTAGTTCGTACCTTACCTTAGAAAGCAAGCAGCCGCGACCTCCGCACGGAGTATAACCGTGCTGCGGCTATGGCGGCTAAAAAATAAATTAAAATAATCGGCCGTCTAGGTGCTATTAGGCGAGTCCTTTTTTTATTTCATTTAATTTAATAAATAGTACAGCCGCATGGCTATACTATGGTTTTTTAAATTTTTTAAAATAAATAGTATGGCCGTGCGGCTAGACGGTTAAATGTTATATATTTAAAGAGTATAGCCGATCGGCTATATTGGGGTCCTTTTTTTATTATTATTTTTACCATATTTTCCTTTAGAGCATTATCCATTACTATTAGGCCATTACTCGAGTCTCTATAGTCCCCTTTTGATTTTTTACATTTCCAGAGTTATTACGCTTATAAAGAATTTAGCAATTTCCCGTTTAATACTTGTATTATACATACGTGTTTTTCAATAATACTTCCGTTTTCCGTACATATCTTAAAGACTCGGTAAAATAGACATGTAGCACTCGAGAGAGCGACTCCAAGGTAGACGTTCGCACGGAAAAAAAGAAAAAAAAAGAAAAAAAAAATGAAGAAGAAAAAATTGAACTCTCATATTGATTTACTATGAAATTTCCATTTTTCCAATATCTGCTTTGGATATGTTGAAACTAACAAATTAATAACTATAAAGTATAAACTAATGGAAGTGGGCCACATAATTTCAAAATTTCTAGGGCATCCTTCTTTGCAAACTCAACAACTAGAAAGCTTATGTTTTGCTTCCAGCGTAACCTCTCTTTGTTAACTGTCTTTCCCGAGCAGAAGGGTACTTGCAATACACTTATAGTGGGAATTCAAATCATGTTATTCTCTTATGAGAAATTCATCCTATTTATCTGTCCTTGAAAGTTTAGTAATTTGCTAATTGTCTTCCCAGCTACTCAACTTAAACTAAATACTGTAGGGTTTCTACTTTCTAATCAAGTTTCCTATGCTGCTAATTGTGAGATTTTTTAAGGTGACAGACAGTTACAGAAAACTTTATCAAATTAATACAATTATCTTCTAATTAGAGTCAAACTCTCCATATATAGTGCAGACTAAAAGAAACACACCCCTCACTGGTTCATCAGGTGTACTCAAGGTGAGCAGCCCTAGAATTCTTGTCCTTGTTGACTATAAGAACACTATCAATCTATTGGTAGTCTTTCATAAAAATGTCTTGTCCCTGTTAGTTGGAAAGAGTCAATTTCCCCTCTCATTCTCTCTGAGTTTCTAATTTTTTTTGTTTGCCTTGGTTCCTGGCATTACATGGTAGTCTTTAACCCACCAATGAATTCCCCAGGTGTGGCTGCATCAAGGATGAAGCCTCCCATAAAGAAAGAAACATCAATGAAGCTTTTGAGAGCACTTAATTAACTTGATATATGTAAATATGTAAAACAGCAGCCATGACAAAACAGTGCATTCACAACATCAACATAGGATGCAAAGGCGATCCCCACACATATTCTCAAGCAACATTTTTCTGATCAACTTCTAATACCAAACAATATATTAACTCTAATTCAAATCACAACATGAATTGTTGAAATCATGATAGAATACACATATGTAACATCTTAAAAGGAGAACTTACCCACTTCCAAGGAGCATCTCGAGCAGGAAGATTCGAAGGCTTTAGACTGAGACTAGCAAAAATATTCACGAGATCTCTTTCTTCACTATCTGCATGATTATGTTCAACAGCACAAGTGTTACCACATAAAGGAAGGAAGGTAGGTTCAATAAATGACAAGGCAACAAAATTACCAACCACAGTCACAACTGTGCTACAATTTCAATGTTGCGAAGATATATACTCTTAACTTGTTAGGAAAGAATTGGACACCCAAAAATAACACCTAAATATATTACCAATTTTATTAAACTTAAAAGAAGACTTAAAGTATAACCAATTCTGCAGTTCCAAAATAAATAAAATAATAATTTGTAAGTCATAACCTTTCCTGGACTGGAAATAGGTGATGGGTGCCTCATTGTTGAACTGTGCGTGGCTCCTTTACTATTTTGGACTCCATCTTCTTATAAGAAGACATCCGTTAATCGCTTCTACCCAATATGCTCATTTCCAGAAGCTACGGAAGTCTTTGTTTCTCCTATAACTGAGATAAGAAATCATAAGCATTGCACATATAGCATCCATTTACCATAGGAATAAAATGCTATCTTCACACTTTTAATAACACATCCAAAATATTTTGATGAAAAAAAGCTGAGTAGATACAAGTAGTCTGTCTCAACACTTTTACTAACCCAATTCTATTGCAGGAACTCTATAATAAGAGCAATTTATAATTTTTCTTTTTATAAGAAACACAAATTTAAGTTACAAACTTCCATTAAAATAAAGAAAGAGGATCGTGATGTAGAAGACACTGTTGATAATAATAGTGAAGATTATTTGTACCATTCCTTATACTCAGTTCTGATGATTTGACTTCAGTAGCAGGCAAAGTTGCATCTTCTAGATGGTCACTGGACTAGAACCATATTCCTTTGAATTCTGCTAACCACGAGGCGCCTTTGGTTCTGACGAAGACATAAGAGCAACCAATTGCACCACTAAGAGTATATCAAAAAGCAAAAACTTTCACTATCTAGCATGTACATAATCATCCATATATACAAGGGGAGAATGGAGATGATGTGGCTTATAGAATCAAAGCATGATAGGTAAAATGGAGGGTTTTGTTAAGCATATATATAGTGTGATCATCCTATTTTGCTAGAATTGAAAGCTAAGTTTATAGAACAGCTGTTAGACCAGCCATGCTATATGGGACTGAATGCTGGACAGTTAGAAAACAGACATATTCATAGTTCCTGTAGGTACATATTAGCCAAATGTTACAACCAGCACAGTGATATGCACACCTCTATCTCTGTTTCTCTAACGGCATATTGGCCATTATTAGACGCAAATTGTTAAGAGATCAGATTAAAATATTTGTCATCTTTTGAATCCTTCAAAATTGGAAATGTTTGCTGAATAATCTTTGCTATGCTTCAAAATTGAAGGGTCATTGCCTCAACCTTAAAAGCCAAGTTTTTATAGTGAAAGGGATGTCAATGAACTCGAGGTCTATCCTTCTTCTAAAGCATTTTCAGCTAATGAAGTCACAGTCCTTTTACACTAATGGAGGCTCAATAAACAATATTTCATGTTGGTATGTTAATCTTGTGCTTTTGAAGTCAATTTGAAAAGTTCAATATAATTAAGAGATTCCCAACCCATGCGTTAGCAAATGCACCCTCTAATTTCTTTTTCTTTTTTTTCTTTGGAGTTGGGTGGAGTTCACACAACAGAAACACAGATGCTGATACAAGAACAAATATAAAAGCTTAAATGAATTAGATTTTTCACTTGAGCTGGTGTAATATTTCTTCTTTTTTTTCTGTTCTTTGGTGGGTTGGTTTTGGGTTCCTATGCCACAGGAGGAGGAGACAAATCTTTCTTCTTCTTTTTTTTCTCTCAGCAAACAAGAGGGCATGATCAAATGTCAAAATCTATAACAGAAATGCAATATCCAAAGAATGAAAAGCAGTCCAACCAAGAAGAAACTACAAATATTAGTGAATCAGCAAAACTTATGAATTTAGCAAATAAAGAACCTGAAGCCAGTTTCAAGCAGAAAAAACATACTTGTGTAATATGAAGAGCCTGCTCAAGCCGCTGAATTTGAATCCATTGTTCTGTAACAATGTCAGCCATCTGAAAGCAAAGAGAAAGAAGCCAATGGCAAAATGAACACCACACTAAGATCACACACTCATAGCCATAGGCCAAAGATGGATTGAGTACATCAGTGCATGACCTTTTGAGCCTGAGAGGCAACCATTTCGAGTCTATCCTTGGCATCTTGGGCTTTAGACTCTCAAACATGAAGATCGAAGTTGTACTTTCTTGATGCAGCCCACAGAAGCCGTACCTAAAAAGCATTGCAAAGCCCATTTCTCAAATCCAACAAACCCTTTCTGCTACTTTTTCATTGAATTGAAAATTGCAAAAATTAAATTGAAAAAGATGTGACCCTCTTCTTCTAGAGCATGAAGCCTCTCATCAGTAGCCAATGAGTCTCTCTGTGACATACAAATGCAACCAAATATTTTATATTTGCTTTCAATTTAGCATATACTTGAAAGCTGAAGATTTTAAGCTGAAACGGGAAACAAACCTTAAGAGTGAACAAAACATACTGCAAATGATGGATCTTCTGCAAATGATGTATCTGGGTTTAATAGAAGTACGGAACTTACTCAAGGAATGTGAGATGTTGTGCACGAAGAACTGCTCCTGCGCGGCTTTTGCAAACTTGGATACCAGGGATGGAGGAAGTGGGTGCCTGCTGTGGCTTAGTGAGCTGATTGAGTACATCAGTGCATGACCTTTTGAGCCTGAGAGGCAACCGTTTCGAGTCTATCCTCGGCATCTTGTGCTTTAGACTCTAAAAAATGGGCCTAGGCGGGGCGGCTGGGCGGCTAGGCGGGTTCTAGGCGGCTAGGCGGCTAGGCGGCTTGGGGGGCCTCCTAGGCGGGTTGGGTCTTTTTTCGGTGCTGAACCCGGAGGAAGAAGCAGCCGAAACCGAAGAAAACAAATCGAAGCTTGAGTTGATAGAGAGGCGAAACTTCGACTGCAACCTCCGTCCTCTTCGGGCGCTAGGCGGCTAGGCGGGCGCTAGGCGGCTGGGCGGGCCTCCTAGGCGGGTTGGGGCTTTTTTCGGTGCCGAACCCGGAGGAAGAAGCAGCCGAAACCGAAGAAAACAAATCGAAGCTTGAGTTGATAGAGAAGCAAAACTTCGACTGCAACCTCCGTCCTCTGCGAGTTCAAGCTTCGTGATCGTTTGGAATATATTTAAATAGTATAGCCGCGCGGCTATACTTTTAAAATGTTCGAACGTGTTTAGAAAGTATAGCCGACCGGCTATACGTTTAAAATATTCTAATATACGTTTCCTAATCATAAATCAGAGGTCTTAATCTACATATTTTAAAAATATTGAGTAGTTGTATTGTCGAATACTAGCCCATTATAGACTCCCAATCTGTCCCTGAATAGAGTCTAATAAAACATCTGATCTTGACCCAGTCCACTTCATAAAGCTGTTATAAAATAACTAAATGTCCCATGACCAGGAGATTTTATCAGGTCATAATAGCCTTAACTTTTCACCTCATATCAAAATTTGACCAAATTCATAACTGGGAGACTGAAATCAACGTCACATGACCAAATTTGAAAAATCCCCGTAAATTGTATACTAGTCCAAATTCGAAGATATTTATATTCACGGAAATCTGGGGATGTCTAGTTTCTCAATATCAAAATTTCAGAAGGAGAAGCTATTGTTACCTTCTCGAACCCTCCTCTCTAAACTCCAGCCATTAGTCTGCCTCCAGAAAACCCTTTTTCCCTTCTCTCTCTCTCTCTCTCTCTCTCTCCTTTTTGGGCTTTTTTTCTCTGTAACCAACTGAGCTAAACCCTAAAGTTCATATCTAAATGTGTCATCTAATGGGCCAGCCCTAATCCTAGCGCTAAAACCCTAGCTGGCCTCATAAAACATATCGGAGAGTCGGCCTGCTCACACACCTACTTACGCTTTCGTAAATTAAAGTATCTTGGACCTAAAAGTTTATAATAAGCTTAAGTAAACTATTACATTCAGCCTTATTCACAGATATATCATAGTATAACATAAAGATCAGGAGAAAATTGACGTAAACAAGTCGGGCCTTACACTCATATTCCAGCAAAACCAATGAAAGATTATGGATTTTCTTCCTTGACTGGTTCGATATGATCAAATTTAACTTAAAAATTGAATAGGTGAGCAGCCCTGGAATTCTTGTCCTTGTTGACGATAAGAACACTATCAATCTATTTGGTAGTCTTTAATGAAAATGTCTTGTTCCGGTTAGTTGGAAAGAGTCAATTTCCCCTCTCATTCTCTCTGAGTTTCTAATTTTTTTTGTTTGGCTTGGTTCCTGGCATTACATGGTAGTCTTTAACCCACCAATGAATTCTCCAGGTGTGGCTGCATCAAGGATGAAGCCTCCCCTAAAGAAAGAAACATCAATGAAGCTTTTGA